GTACCCCCTGCCTGGCATTCTCCCGAGCCTTGGGACCTGGCCAGTGGGGACCCACCCAGCCTGGTCTGACAGCTGCGGGGCGAGAGGCACCCTGCAGGATGGGAGTCGGGCGGAGCTCACCCGAGCGCCCGGGTTGTACCAGCCGGGGCTCCCTGCCAACCGAAGCAGTGCCACCTGTTGATTGAGGTGGTGATTTCTCTAGAGGCCCCTACCCATTTAACCCCTTAAGGTCCCTTGGGAATTTTCAGATCTAGTCTGGGGCTCCTGAAGGTAAGGCAGTCATGAAAGAATTTGGGGAGGGGAGGACCATGAACACTATAAATTGTATAGAACATTTTGAGTATATGTATGTTTCTGGAGAAAGGGTATTTAGTTTGTCTCAGATTCCCAAGGGGATCTACAACCTCTCCCAAATCGCCAAGAATACCTTAATAGTTGGGGGTGCTGGATCTCCGGCCTAGCCCTCTCCATCTCCATCTTGCATATACCACAGCGCCCCTGATGAAAATCCTCTAATGGTCAGTTTGGGGAATGGTCTTAAAGCAGAGGCAGAGGAGAACTAAAGGATTGAGCATTTAGCAAGAAAAAAATTAATTTCATGAAAATAGATTTCCTGATGAATATATGATAAATTTCATTTTTACATAAACAGAGTTGGCAAACGGTGAAAATTTTCAAATCCTGGCCACACTCCACACTGCATTGAACTAATTAGATGAAAGAACTGCTTATACTCACCATTGAAAGAAGAGAGAGAACTAGTCTATTAGTGCCAAAACCACCAGGTACAATTTTGTTCTAATACATTTATTTAAAAAATATTTTTTTGCCCGGCCAGGTGTGGCTCAGCAGTTGAGCCTCGACCTAGGATCCAGGTGATCGGGGTTCCATTCCCAGTCAGGGCACATGCCCGGGTTGCTGGCTCGATCCCCAGTCGGGGGCGTGCAGGAGGCAGCCGATCAATGACTCTCTCATCATTGATGTTTCTCTCTCTCGCTCTCCCTCTCCTTTCCTCTCTCTGAAATCAATAAAGATATATATATTTTTAAAAGATTTAAAATATATATATATATATATATTTTAAAGTGATTAATTTTTTTATTATTGTTATTTTTTCAATTCTCACCTGAAGATATTTTTTCCATCACTTTCCAGAGGTAGTGGAAGGGAGAGCGAGAAAGACGCATAGATTGATTGCCTCTCACATCGATGTGAGAGAGACACATAGATTGATTGCCTCCCACATACCCCCTGACCAGGGCTGGGGCTGGAGCCTACAACTGAGGTATGTGCCTCTGGCTGGAATCGAACTCAGGACCCTTCAGTACTCAGGCCAGCACTCTAGCCACTGAGCAAAACTGACTAGGGATGTTCTAATACATTTATATAAAATAATATACATGCTTTGTATTTATGTCACCTATTGCCAAAGAACTCCAGGTGTGTGGGAAGTTAATTTAAATTAACTTTGATAAACTCAAGTAGTAGTTACACTTGGATTTTCAACGGTGTAGGTGATTGGTACCCTTAGTTCCCATGTTGTTCAAGAGTCAGCTGTAATTTAAATCCTTAAAATAATAGCTCCATTTATAACCAGATTGACAATAAATGTACAGCCTTAAGATTTGAAAGTTAATTCCTACAAGAAATCTGTTTTTGGGGTCAAATTGTCTTGTCACATTTAAAAGTCTACTTAGCTATGCTCATCTGTTTAAGACATAAATAGAGCAGGTTCCTTGCATAATAATACTCAAACTAACCAGAGCATTTCAGATTTAATTTAAATCAGAACTTTAATTCTTATGTGATCATAGAGAAAGCAGGTGACTACATTCTCTGGCTCAGGCTGGCCTACCTATTAAAGAGATTGGCCAGATAAAATTCTGTATTTCTGTATGCAGGGTTGGTGACCTTTTAAGCCTGTTACTTCTATAAACTGGATTCTACTCCACCCATCTAGATAGAAGTCCTGCATAGTTTTGTATTTGATGCTGTGCCCACCTGTGGTTGACTTGCAGAAATAGCTAAACCTTTGTCAGGATAGTCATTATCACTGGTTTCATCTCCACACTCCATCACTCTTCAGCTGCTTGGTCTGTCATAATCCTCATTGCAGGTGAGGGAGAAGCCGAAGGCCAGGTCTAAGGCTGATACTGTGTGTGGGTTCACCACACATGCAACAACCTAGAAAAGTAACACAGCGAAGCTGATGTGGACAAGATCCCTGGCTCCACCTGGCACCTAAAAAACACATGAAATAACTCATTGAAAATATGCCATTTTAAACCATATTTCATTTATCTACTTTATGGAAAAGTTCACATAGAGGCTAACTTGGGGATCTAATAACCAAATGGCTTACAAATAACTTACATTCATTGTGGCACTTCCCTTAATTTTTACATGAAGGGAGTTGTCCATTGTCTCTAAACTCATAATTGTGAAACTGGATGTGACAAGTGCTAGGTTCCAAGAAAAGCCAGGGAACTCTGCTCTAAGACAGTCCTGGAGACAATCCTGGCTCTAGGCTCTTAGCTGTGTGATCATGGCAAGTTAATCAACCTCTCCAAGCCTTCATCATTTGAAAAGTGACATTAACACCTACCTCAAAGGACTGTTGTGAAAATTATGTAAAACAGTGTCGGGGAAAGTCTCAGTATGCCATGGGTTCTCAATTCATGATTTTTTTTCTTCTTTTTCCCTTCTGATTCCAAACCTAATAATTTTTTCACTGCCACATACCATGAAACATTTTCAGGCACTTTTATTAGACTACTTTTGGTTGCAAGAACAAGAACCCAGTTCAAACTAGCTTAAGAAAAAGGAAAATTTATTTTAAGGATACAGAGGATCTTGGAACATATCTTAGAACCAGGTGTCTCAAGTGGTCTGAGGCCAGAGTAGGAATGCCACTGTGGGGAGGGGGCTATCTCTGGGACACTCTGTAACTGCTTCGTATGAGAATCCATTGCCTCCTTTTCTGGCAATGCCTGGCTCCCACTGCTTCTTGGTCAACATGGGGCTGGGTGGGGCCACTCACAGGAACAGCTCTGAGCTTTTCCTGTTCCACAGCAGTTGGTCCTAGAGCCAGAGTAATCACCTGAGGCTAGCAGGGCAAAGTCACCTTGGGGCTACTGCAGCTATAAACTTGGAGAAGAAGGAGAAGGGGGACAGGAGGTAATTCTTGGGAAGAGGGTCCTGGGCGGACCATCCAATAAGGGCCCCCTGTGACTTTCTCATAAAAATGAGAAACACCATTCTGATCAGCAATTTACAATTAAGTCTTCTAAGTGGACTACATGCTGATTCAGAAACGTCAATATGTGATTTGGGTAGAGACAAAAAAGAGGAACGGAAATAAAAGGGATTGGCTTGTGTACTTCCTGTCTGTGATTCCATCAGGCCGACCCAAAAGTGCTCCTCAGTCCCTGTGCTATTGCCCATCATTGGCTGGACTCGAGGCCAGCTGTGGAGGAATACCAGAATGTAAAAGGAATTCAGGAAATTTATCAAAAGCCAATAAAATGTTTTTAGAGCTACACAAGAAGTCATTAAAATGTCTTAGGAGCTATGGTCTGAGATGAACATAACAGCATGGTGGATTTAGAGATGGCTGAAGGAAGTAAAATTCAAGCTGGGTGGGATTCAGACTTTCCTCTGAGTGTGGGTGAAAAAGTGAGGCGAGGGTTGAGAGAGCTAAATGGGCATTTTGCTATGCTGCCATTGTAAGTTGGAGAGGCAGGAAAAATAAACACCTTGTACCCTGTGATAGTCAAGAAATAACAGGGTCACCTGTGTAGTCCTGATCCCCCAAATAAATGAAACCTTGAGCATTTTCATACTTTACGGATTCCCAAATGGAAAGCAGCACTATCCCTTTTTCCTACAATGCTGTTGTAAGGAGATGTGACCTTTTTGGTCATCATCAAGTGACAGTGTTGCTGTTCCCCACTGTGAACAGCCCATCATAAACTTGGGAAGTGTGGGCTTTCTTCCCTTTGTATATTGTCCATTGTGCACCTGTTGTGTTTGTGGTGTTGTCTGGCTAGTCATTCCCTGAGGTCTTGCCTCTTTTGCAAACTTTCTTCGCAAGTATATTCTCTTTAGCAAGATCCTTTGGTCTCCACAGGGTATAACCAGAACCTGGGAGGCTGGTTGCAAAACCAATGCCATTTGAAAGCAGTGCATGTGGAGTTGCCTGTTGTCAGACTACAGAAGAGGCCCAGGGAGGCATCTGAAGAATCACCCCAGCTATAGACCAGAGAGGAGCAGAAACAGGTTAAGGAGAAGACATCTGCGTATGTTGGAGGAGAGATAGTCTGCACTCATGAACAGGATGAAAGAAGTGGCAGGGCAACCTTGCAAACAATCTGGGAAGAACACAGAATGCAAAGCCTAAAAGAAAAACCCTTTATGGAAGAAATCACTCCCCCCCCCCC